ACAAAAAATTAGCTGGGCATGGTGGTGCGTGCCTGTAATCCCAGCTAATTTTTTGTATTTTTAGTAGAGACGGGGTTTCACCATGTTGACCAGGATGGTCTCGATCTCTTGACCTCGTGATCCACCTGCCTCGGCCTCCCAAAGTGCTGGGATTACAGGCTTGAGCCACCGTGCCCGGCCTGTTTTGTAGTTTTAGTAGAGACGGGGTTTCACCGTGTTGACCAGGATGGTCTCGATCTCTTGACCTCGTGATCCACCCGCCTCGGCCTCCCAAAGTGCTGGGATTACAGGCGTGAGCCACCGCGCCCGGCCTAGATGGGAGTTTTCTAATAGTTGGGGGTAAGAGGGGCAGTTAAGGTCAAAGGAATGTTAATACAAATTCCAGGTAGTGACCACCCACAGAGCGAGCGAGGGGTGTGACGGGGAAATGGGCCGATGAGGGTTCAAAGATGTTGACAATATACTTTTTGAACTGGATGGGACGCAGCAGTGATTTATTACTTTTCTTTGAAGTATGTATGCATATAGACTGTATACATTATTTGCCAGATAAAGTTAAACATCTTTAAGATGTTCCTATTTTATTGTAGAGACGGGTTTTAAAGTCCTGGGCAATTAGCCGGGTGCGTTGGTGTGCTCCTGTAATCCCAGCTGCTCGGGAGGCTGAGGCGGGAGAGTGGCTCGAACCCGGGAGGCAGAGGCTGCAGCGAGCCGAGATCGCACCACTGCGGTCCTGCCTGGATAGTAGAGACCCTGTCTCAAAAACAAAACAAAAACAAAACAAAGTCCCGGGCAGCAAAGCCCCCGCCTCGCCCCCTGGAGCTTGCCCCAAGAGCACCGCGCGGCTGCTGGGGTATTTCCGGGTCTAAAGAGACGATTCGGAGCTCATTTGCATACCCAGAATACACTGCGGACAGCGTCGTGTTTCTGAAAAAACAGCTTTCCGTATCGCGTGAGCTTTCTGAGTGTGAGGACGTTCCCGCAGAACGGTCGCGTGCGCGCGGTCTCGGGAGGTCCCTTTGGGGCGAAGTGACCGTCAGCGCACCAGGAGTGGCCGCTCCCGGAGAGGGGAGTCGCGGCGGCCGCGCGCGCGGGTTTCTCTTCAGATCGCACAAATCTTTCGCCTTTTACTAAAGATGTCCGTGGAGAGGAACGGCTCTGAGTCTGTACCCGGTTTTTTGAGACCTTGTTTCGGCAAGGCCGCGGGTGCCGTTCCCAGGACAGGCGCCTCGGGGGTGGGAGCCGAGCGCCGCGGGCTGGGGCTGGGGCTGGGGTTGGGGTTGGGGCTCCGGGGCGCAGCGGCGCGGGGCTGGGAGGGCCCGTGGGACGGAAGCGTTGGAGCCCGAGCCTGCTTTGTTCCTCGCTGGCTGCTTTATGGGCAGTTATTCAACACTGCCCGCGTCCGCCTGCGCTCCGAAGAAACGCGTCTTGTGCGTTCGCGCTTTTCAACCTTATGTGACAGGCGGTTGGTACAGAGTAGGCGCCTCCTCTGGGCTCTGCTTTTAGTCGAGGCTGTTGGGTACGTCAATGTTTTTTGTTAACTGTTAATATGCAAGATCGCATAAACTTTTCGCCTTTTACTGAAGAATTCTGTGGAGAGGACCAGTTCTGAGTCTTTTTTTTTTTTTTTTTGAGACGGAGTTTCGCTCTTGTTACCCAGGCTGGAGTGCAATGGCGCGACCTCGGCTCACCGCAACCCCCGCCTCCTGGGTTCAGGCAATTCTCCTGCCTCAGCCTCCTGAGTAGCTGGGATTACAGGGACACACCACCATGCCCAGCTAATTTTTTGTATTTTTAGTAGAGACGGGGTTTCACCACGTTGACCAGGATGGTCTCGATCTCTTGGCCTCGTGATCCACCCGCCTCGGCCTCCCAAAGTGCTGGGATTACAGGCTTGAGCCACCGTGCCCAGCCAAAAAAAAACTTTTAAGACAGGGTCTCACTCCATCTCCCAGGCTGGAGTGCGGTGGTGTGATCATGGCTCACCACAGCCTCAACCTCCCAGCTCAAGTCATCCTCCCACCTCAGCCTCCTGAGTCTCTGGGACTGCAGGTCTTACCACATTGCCCAGGCTGGTCTTAAACTCCTAAACTTAAGCGATCCTCCAGCCTCAGCCTCCCAAAGTGTTGTGATTACAGGCATGAGCCACCACGCCTGGTCCAAAATTCACTTTAGAGTACATCATCTTTGTCCAAAAAGCTTTTTCTGAATTTAGGATTATTATTTAAGGATGATTCTAGCAGGAAGATGATTGAAGTCAACATTCTAACATGTATGATTTTTTAAATAAGTATCTCCAAATGGTTGTCCTCCAAGGAAGGGGACTTGACCAAGCTGGGCCACCAGAAGTCTCTGGGTCTCCATTTCTGGGCAGCTTTGGCCAGCACCTTTCTTAGGCGCTTTGACCATTGATGTTTCCCAGAGCAATCAGGTAACGATAGTGCTTTTCCTGCTCACCTCTCAGGGTGATTGCCAGACCTGGAATCAAAGCCACGTAAATGAAGTCTCGGAGGCCTCACCGCGCCCTGTAGGGCTGGGAGAGGTGAGGCGTTTTCTGCCACAAGTCCCCTTGACCCACACAGCCTCCCAGCTTGTTTGCTTTCCTGGACCAAAGCAGAACCCCTTCTTTTTTTTTTTCTTTTTTCTTTTTTTGAGACGGAGTTTCGCTCTTGTTACCCAGGCTGGAGTGCAATGGCGCGATCTCCGCTCACCGCAACCTCCGCCTCCTGGGTTCAGGCAATTCTCCTGCCTCAGCCTCCTGAGTAGCTGGGATTACAGGCACGCGCCACCATGCCCAGCTGATTTTTGTATTTTTAGTAGAGACGGGGTTTCACCATGTTGACCAGGTTGGTCTCGATCTCTTGACCTCGTGATCCACCCGCCTCGGCCTCCCAAAGTGCTGGGATTACAGGCTTGAGCCACCGCGCCCGGCCTCAGAGCCCCTTCTTTAACCCCCTCCCCAGTTCCTCACGCTGCCTTCAGATTTGGAATTCTCGAGCAGACTGTGCTCCCCACTGGCTGTGGGCCTGGGCCTGTCTAGTGGGTCTTGATTTTTCGTTCTCAATTAACATCACCTGGGGTGCTTTCAAAAACTACCGACACCCGGGCTCCACCCACAGCGCCGAAGGCCTCTCGTTCAACGCTGAGGACTCAGAAAATCATCTTACAGGTCAAGAACTCTTGGCTGGGTGCGGTCGCTCACACCCGTTATCTCAGCACTTTGAGAGGCTGAGGCAAGAGGATCAGTCGAGCTCAGGGGGTCAAGACCAGCCTGAGTACCATGGCGAAAGTGTCTCTACAAAAAAATAGAAAAAAAATCAGCCGGGTGTGGTGGCAAGTGCCTGTGCTTCCAGCTACTTGGGAGACTGAGGCAGGGGGATCCCCTGAGCCTATGCGTTAGAGGTTGCAGTGAGCTGAGATGGCACCACTGCACTCCAGCCTGGGCGAGTGAAGGAGACACTATCTCAAAAAGAAAAAAAGGAAGGTTGAGCACGGCGGCTCACGCCTGTAATCCCAGTCCTTTAGGAGGCCGAGGCGGGTGGATCATGAGGTTACGAGTTCAAGACCAGCATGGCCAACGTGGTGAAACCCCGTCTCTACTAAAAATACAAAAATTAGCTGGGTGTGGTGGCAGGTGCCTGTAATCCTAGCTACTCGGGAGGCTGAGGCAAGGAATTGCTTGAACCCAGGATGTGGAGGTTGCAGTGAGCTGAGGCTGTGCCACTGCATTCCAGCCTGGGTGACAGAGCGAGAGTCCATCTCAAAAAAAACAAAAGAAATCTAGCTTCAAATTCTTCCTTCCTTTGTCCCTTTGCTATTGACCTGGTCACCCAACAAACCACTCTTGTCTCCATCAGAAAACTGCCCTCTGTGACTTTACCCAGCTCACTCCTCCTGCCTCTCTGCAGGCCCCTCTATGAGGCCATGAACCCCAGCCTGGGCTGTTTCCAGCCCCCTGCCACTGTGGCCAAGAAAACAGGAAGCATCTGAGTCACCCATTGTCCCCCTGGGCTTTGACTGCCTGGGCTCAAGTTCTGGAGTCAGGGAAGGACAAAGAAGAGGTTAGCTCTACAGAAGCCAGGACTGTCCTGCGGGGCTCCGTCTTCCACACTGTGGGACCCCAGACAGCCAGTGGTCCAGGAACCCCTCCCCAGTTCTTCGCATGGCCTTAAGATTGGGAATTCTCAGACTCTGCTCCCCACTGGCTGTGGGCCTGGGCTTGTCTGGTGGGTCTTTTAGTTGTAAATTAATATCACCTGGGGTGCTTTAAGAATGAGTAACACCTGGGCTCCACCCACAGCGCTTCAGATTTAATTTGTAAAGCTTCCCCAGGTGATTTCAAAGTGCAGCCAACCTTGAGAACTACTGGGCGGGTCCTTCATCTCCTTAAGTCCAAGTCTCTCCGCGGCCAAAGGGGGCTAATGATGCCTACCTTCCATAGTTGCTGGAAACAATGGACATCCTGGTCTGTTCAGGCACATCGAAACTGTCAATGGTAATGTAATATTATGTCCACCCATGCGAGGGCTTGAGCAGAAGTGGGTGCCCTCAGGCTTTCCTCGGCCCCTAGAGCCCAGGTCAAGACGCCAGTGGTGGACATTGACAAGCGTGTTGACGGGCATACACGAGCCGGTATGCTGCCCCCCGACACCGTCCTCCAAAGCGCCCAGCACTGAGCAGGAAATTCAAGGTGAGAACAGCAGGTTACCCCAGGCTCAGCCCCCTTGGGCAGGGCTGCCCCAGACCACGGGAACTCACCCCTTGCATCAGCGTGACCTGGAGGTGAGACCTGGAATCAAAGGAGATCATTTTGGAGCTTTAAAATTCGACTGTCCTGCTGAATTTTGGACTTGCATGGGCCCTGTAACCCTTTTATTTTGGCCAATTTCACCCATTTGAAATGGCTGTGATTACCCAATGCCTTTACCCCCATTGTATCTCGGGAGTCACCACCTTGTTTTTGTTTTTGATTTTACAGGCTCATAGGCAGAAGGGACTTGTCTCAGATGAAACTTTGGACTGTGGACTTTTGGGTGAATGCTGAAATGAGTTAAGATTTTGGGGGACTGTTGGGAAGGCATGAGATTTGGAGGGGCTGAGTGGAACGATATGGTTTCGCTGTGTCCCAATCCAAATCTCAGCTTGAATTGTAACTCCTGGAATTCCCACGTGTTCTGGGAGGAACCCAGGAGGAAGTAATTGAATCACGGGGTGGGGGGGGCAGTCTTTCCCGTGCTATTCACGAGATAGTGACCAAGTTTCACGAGAACTGGTGGGTTTATCAGGGGTTTCTGCTTCCACTTCTTCCTCCTCCTGTTTTGCCGCTGCCGTGTAGGAGGCGCTTTTCGCCCTCTGCCGTGATCCTGAAACCTCCCCAGCCAGATGGAGCTGTAAGTCCAATTAAACCTCCCTTTTTTCCCAGGTTCGGGTATGTCTTTTTGTTTGTTTGTTTTGGGACGGAGTTTCGCTCTTGTTACCCAGGCTGGAGTGCAGTGGCACGATCTTGGCTCACCGCAACCTCCAGATCCTGGGTTCAGGCAATTCTCCTGCCTCAGCCTCCTGGGTATGTCTTTATCAGCAGCGTGAAAACAGACTCACAGAGTGTGGGTTGTGAACGGAGGAGGGGTCAGCGCTCTCCTGAAGCGCCTTTCCCTGGGGTAAGCATCACAGCACATACTGTATGATTCCATTTATGAAAAGTAACGAGTACGTTTGTTTTATAGTGCAATATGAAAATTCTCATGGGTCTGTTTTTTCATCTGTTGTTTCAAGTGGCCCTTGGTTATATCGTCTTGTCACCTTGTGTGCCTCGTTTTCTTTTTTTTCTTTTGAGAAAGGGTCTCGCTCTATTGCCTACGCTGGAGAACAGTGGCACAATTGTGGCTCACCGCAGCCTCAACCTCCAGGGCTCAAGCAATCCTTCCACCTCAGCCTTCTGAGTAGCTGAGACTACAGGTGCATGGGAACAGGCCTGGTTAGTCTTTGTAATTTTTTGTGAAGATGGGGTTTCACCATGTTGCCAGGCTGGCCTTGAACTCCCGGGCTCAAGTGCTCTGCCTGCCTTACCCTAAGTGCTGGGATTACAAGCGTAAGCTGCCACACCTGGCCTGGTTACAGTGATTGTACAATGGACATTTGTTTCATTTGTTTACCTTAGAAATTACTTTAGGCCTAAAGTCATGTTCCTTAATTTAGGACATTGAATGAAAGAAAGAAAGAAAAAGAGAAAGAAAGGAAAGGAAGGAAGGAAAGGAAGGAAGGAAAGGCAGGCAGGCCAACTGTGGTGGCTCACACCTGTGATCCCAGCACTTTGGGAGGCTGAGGCAGTCAGATCAACTGAGGTTGGGGGTTCGAGACCAGCCTGACCAACATGGAGAAACCCCATCTCTACTAAAAATACAAAAAATTTGCTAGGCGGGGTGGTGGGCGCCTATAATTCCAGCTACTTGGAAGTCTGAGGCAGGAGAATCGCTTGAACCTGGGAGGCAGAGGTGATAGTGAGCCAAGATCGCGCCACTGCACTCCAGCCTGGGCAACAAGACTGAAACTCTGTTTTGGGGGGGGGAAAAAAAAAAAAAGAAAAATAAAGAAATGAGGTCCTCATTAAAAAAAGAAAGAAAATTTAAAAAGACACAGAAAACCCAGAGAACCTAGCCTGGCCTGAAGAGGCATGAATCCAGAAAGGCTTCCTGGAGGAGGTTCTACCCACTGAAGACCCAAAGGAAGAGTAACAAAGAGATTAACCCACAACAAAGCAGTGAGGCCCAGTGGAGGGAGTTGTGGTGAGGGCCAAAGGCAGGGAGGCTGGAAATGGAGCGATATGAAGGAGTCCATTCTGATAAGGAGGACCTTATCAGAAAGTGCTGAGACTACAGGGCAGGCTGTCCTAGGAGGTGGTGCTGGTTGAATGAATGAGTGAAGAAAGGAATGAATGAGGGATCCGCCGAGAGAAGGCCAAGGTGGAAAAACCAGCTCTATCTTCCGCAGTGGTGGTTTTTGTTTGTGTTTTGGCAGTTGGGACAAGAACATCACACGCTCGTCCTGCACCACCCCCAGCTTGGGACTCGAAGGACTAGGGTGTGCTGAAGGTGGCACGGCAGGCCCAGAAGGGGCCAGGGGGACTGGGTCTCCTCCCCTCCGCGGCTGCCCCTCTGTCCTGGGGTGGGGGGCTGATTGGCTCCCCCGCCCCGCCCCCAGCCCAGTGCCAAGCTTCCCAGCTGCTGACTCAGGCCATGCCGGCCAGCTCAGCATTCCTGCCTGGCCCCCACTGAATGAGGCTATTGAAAGTCTCTGTAGCCACAAACCACGCCCCCAACCAGAGCCTTCGGCTGCCCCGTGGCTCTGCTGTCAGGGGACGGCCTAGGCCTGGGCCAGTGGGAGAGGGCTCTGGCGGCCAGTGACTGACGGTCTGGGGGTGTCTGGGACCAAGGACGATCCTGGGTAAGCTGGCTGGGCTGGCACCAAAGAGGGGATCCCAATGGAAGGGGTCTCCCTGGCTCGAAGGACAGAGGCCCTGGGATGGGTGACCCTGGCTTGAGGGAGGGATCTGCGTGTCTCTGGGACAGCCAAAGGGCCCTGTGGGGTTTCCCACCTGCCCCCTCAGACTGGAGCTTCCCTGAAGTAGAGGTGGTTTCCCCCTTAGAGGCCACTCGGGTATGGGCTGGGTCTCCCCCACCAGGCAGGAGCCAAGGTAGGGAGAAGGGGTGGCTTGGAGTTCGGAGTCGGACTCAGCTCCCCAGGCAGGAGAACAGCATCAGCGTCCAGCCTCGGCCTCTGCTGCTGGTCCCGCCCAAGCGCCCTCCTTTCCCTCCTCACCGTCTTGGCCTCTGCCCCAAGCCAGGACCTGGCCACCAGCCTGGCTGCAGGGGCCGTTTTTCAGGTATGGGGGAGGGCCGGGTGCCATGAAGCCAGTGCAGGTCGCCACCCTTCTGTGGATGCTGCCGCTGGTGCTCGGGCTGGGGGCCGCCCGGATGGGGTCCCCAGAAGAGGACTCCTTCTACTATGGAACCTTCCCTTTTGGTACGGCCACCCCTCTGTTCGTCTGTCTGCCTGTCTGTCTGTCATCCACCTGCCCAGCTTGGCTGACTCACCAAGGAGTGTGGTATTCTTGCTTCCCGACAGGACGGAAAACCCGCCTCTGAGCGGCTCCCCTCGGTGTGGTTGTTCTGAAAGTTCCTAATAGCTTTTTCTTAAGTTACTAGAACTACACAGATAATACAAGCAATCAGCTAAAAGCGTACAGAAAGTGTGTTTAATGTATCTTCTCCCACCCGACCCTGCCTTGTGTGCTCCCACTCGTAGGAAGACCAGGCCCCAGGGGACAGGGGCAGCGTGGGAGGGAGGGACAGCCCCTGAGGCCTGGGAGACACGGGAGCACCCGGGGCCCAGCGCGGGTCTCTCCCTTCAGGCTTCTCCTGGGGCGTGGGCAGTTCTGCCTACCAGACGGAGGGCGCCTGGGACCAGGACGGGAAAGGGCCCAGCATCTGGGACGCCTTCACGCACAGTGGGAAGGGGAAGGTGCTCGGGAATGAGACGGCAGATGTGGCCTGTGATGGGTACCACAAGGTCCAGGTGAGTGCGGGGGGTGTGTGCGCGTGCACGTGCCTAGCTGCGCGGCAAGAGGTGATGCATTGGGGGAGCCCTGGTGACAGTGTCATCCCCATGCTCTGCCAAACACCCTCTACCCCCGTGCAGCCAGTGGGGGCAGGGCCAGTGGGGGTGAAGGTTTTGGAGGAAAGCAGGGCGTCACCTGAGCCAGTGCCTCAGGCCAGGTGAGGGGGACCTGAAAGTCTGATGCCACAGCGGCCTGCACCCCTGGTCCCTGCTTGTGAGTTGTGCCTGTGGAGGGAGTGGGACCCGCTCATCCTCGGTGCCCGCTTTCCTCTCTGGGTGGCTTCTTGAGGAAGCCATCACCAGGTTTATAGGGGCAGCCCGAAGGACTTCTCCAAGTGCCTCCCTGCCCTGCGTTGGCGTTGACTCTCGGCGTGTCCCCTGCATGACGTGGGGCAGGTGGCATCGCCTCTGTTGTGCAGATGAGGAAGCAGGTTCTTCCTCACCCACGAACAGATAGAGACAAGAGTGGACCCCGGCCCAGGAGCCTGAGGACCCCTTCCTCCCGCAGCCAGGGCCCCAGGTGACTTCCTCCCCACCCCTGTCTGCACAGGAGGACATCACACTTCTGAGGGAACTGCACGTCAGCCACTACCGATTCTCCCTGTCTTGGCCCCGGCTCCTGCCCACAGGCATCCGAGGTGAGCTAGGGCAGCCTCTCTCGAGCCCAAGTGCAGCCCGCTCCGGCCATATTGGCTTTGCAGAGGCACCACAGAGTCCTGGGGAGGGAGACCAGCCCACGAACATGGTTGCTGATGACAGCGGCCCTCACAGGTTCTTCAGGTAACTGGGCTCCCAGATTGCTGGCGGCCTGAGGGGGCCTCAGGCCTTCAAAAAGCAATAGGGGGACTGGGAGCAGTGGCTCACGCCTGTAATCCCAGCACTTTGGGAGGCTGAGGCAGGCACATCACGAGGTCAAGAGATCGAGACCATCCTGGTCAACATAGTGAAACCCTGTGTCTACTAAAATATAAAAATTAGCTGGGCATGGTGGCACACGTTTGTAATCCTAGCTACTTGGGAGGCTGAGGCAGGAGAATTTCTTGAACCCAGGAGGCAGAGGTTGCAGTGAGCCAAGATCGCACCACTGCGCTCCAGTCTGGTGCCTGGTGACAGCAAGACTGTCTCTCAAAAAAAAAAAAAAAAAAAAAAAGGCAACAGGGCCCAGAAATGCTGCACTCCAGAAGGCCAAGGCCATGGGCCTTTCTCATAGCGTCTTATTTTATTCCACGTATAGCCGAGAAGGTGAACAAGAAGGGAATGAAATTCTACAGCGATCTCATCGATGCCCTTCTGAGCAGCAACGTCACCCCCATCGTGACCTTGCACCACTGGGATCTGCCTCAGGTGAGGACCTGTGCGTGCTCACAGGCCTGAGGAGTGCTCAGCCCAGCAGGAGAGAGCCCAGTGTGAGGACTGGGTTGCGGAGGGCGGAGACTAGGGTTTGGATTCTGGCTCGGGACCATAAGATGTGAGTGAGTGAAAAAGAAATCTTGGCAGGGCACGGTGGCTCACACCTGTAATCCTAGCACTTTGGTAGGCCGAGGAGGGCGGATCATGAAGTCAGGAGTTCAAGACCAGCCTGACCAACATGGCGAAACCCCATCTTTACTAAAAATACAAAAATTAGCTGGGTGTGGTGGCATGCACCTATAATCCCAGCTACTTAGGAGGCTGAGGTAGAAGAATCACTTGAACCCGGGAGGCAGAAGTTTCAGTGAGCTGAGATCACATCACTGCTCTCTAGTTTGGGTGACAGAGTGAAACACCATCTCAAAAACAAAAAAAAATCTCTCTGACTCACTATATCTTAGTCCACTTTTGCTGTTATACCAGAATACCTGAGACTGGTAATTTGTAAAGAATGAGAATGTATTTTCTCACAGTTCTAGAGGCTGGGAATTCCAAGGGCCCAGTATCTGCTTCCAAGATGATGCCTTCAAGGCTGTGTCCCTCTTCTTACAAGCGCACCTAATCCCATTCATGAAAAAAGACCCCTCATGACTCCATCACCTCCCAATGCTACTACTCAGGGGATAAGGTTTCAACATGAATTTGAGGGGACAGAAACATTAAACCAAAGCACTCACGTGTGGCAGGGAGGTCACACTGCTTTAATTGATGTTTGTAGTAACTGTGAAAAGAATGAATCTTTTAGTTTTCTAAAGAACTTGACATAAAAACAAAATTTAAAAACTATAAAGATATGTCTTTTATGCCGGGTGCGGTGGCTCACGCCTGTAATCCCAACACTTTGGGAGGCTGAGGCAGGCAGATCCCCTGAGGTCAGGAGTTCGAGACCAGCCTGATTAACATGGAGAAACCCCGTCTCTAGTAAAAATACAAAATTAGCTGGGCATGGTGGTGGGTGCTTATAATCCCAGCTACTAGAGAGGCTGAGGCAGGAGAATCACTTGAACCTGGGAGATGGAGGTTGCGGTGAGCCGAGATGGTACCATTGAACTCCAGCCTGGGCGATGAGAGTGACACTCTGTCTCAAAAATCTGGCAACCTAGCATGATGAACAAGTTTAGCCTTTTTTCTCTGATTTGTTTGAGCCAGTACCACAGGCACTCATGTGACCCCTGCCCCAGCAATGTCCGTGAAATCACAATATGCAAGAATGTCACTCTGTTACTATTCAAGCAATATTTTCTTTTTTTTTTTTTTTTTTTTTTTTTTTTGGAGACTCAGGCTTAGCTGGAGTGCAGTGGCATAATCTCAGCTCACTGCAACCTCCACCTCCTGGGTTCAAGCAATCCTCTGCCTCAGCCTCCTGAGTAGCTGGATGCTAATTTAAAAATTAGCCTGCTGGGCCGGGCGCGGTCGCTCAAGCCTGTAATCCCAGCACTTTGGGAGGCCGAGGCGGGTGGATCACGAGGTCAAGAGATCGAGACCATCCTGGTCAACATGGTGAAACCCCGTCTCTACTAAAAATACAAAAAATTAGCTGGGCATGGTGGCGCGTGCCTGTAATCCCAGCTACTCAGGAGGCTGGGGCAGGAGAATTGCCTGAACCCAGGAGGCGGAGGTTGCGGTGAGCTGAGATCGCGCCATTGCACTCCAGCCTGGGTAACGAGCGAAACTCTGTCTAAAAAAAAAAAAATAAATAAATAAATAAAAAATAAAAATTAGCCTGCCATGGCTAATTTTTGTATTTTTAGTAGAGACAGGGGTTCACCATCTTGGCCAGGCTGGTCTTGAACTCCTGACCTCATGATCCACCTGCCTTGGCCTCTCAAAGAACTGGAATTACAGGCATGAGCCACCATTCCTGGCCACAAGCATTATTTTCGGTTTTTTTTTTTTTTTTTTTTTT